AGAGGAAGGGAGCGTGAGAGAGGGATAGAAACATCAATGATGAGAGAGGATCAGGGATCGGCTGCCTCCTGCACGCTCTCCACGGGGGATCAAGCCCGAAAACCAGGCATCAGACTGTGACCTCCTGGTTCATAGGTCAACGCTCGGCCACTGGCATTGCACACCTTTAAGCCCAGTTTTCAGGGCTCCATGTTGCTGCGATGGGCCATCTCCTCTCCACGAGCAGTCATAACTTTCCCGAGTCCCACAGCCGCTGGGCTGTCAAACGGGCAGAGGGGTCCCCGCGTCCTGTGTTCCGGGCGCAGAACCAGCGCTTCGTAGTGGAGCTCCTGCAGGCCCAGCCGGGGCCGGGCTGGCGTTTCTGGTGACAGATGGCTCCTAACGAGGCCCATGCTTGTTTCCAGCCGATCGGTGTAACGGTGGAGAGAATCGAGTCAGGGAAGATGGTGTCCTACGAGGGTGGACGCAAGGCCGTGTCCATCCGCCCGCGCGGAGGGGAAGCCGGCTCCGCGGGAGGCCGCCAAGGTACCGTTAGAAAACGGCGCTCATCGACGCGGTTACATGCAGAACTTGGTGTAGGGGAAATCCCACTTCGGTCAAACACGGATCCTTCATTCATTACGCAAAGCAAGTTTAATGTTTGGGAATAATTACACTCCCATGCATTGAGCTGAGAAGATGAACTAGCTGAACTGATCTCCGTGGGCTTGGCCACGCTCTGTGTGTTTCTGCATTTTTAAACCGTGACATTCCGTGCAGCGCCCAGCGCAGTGCTGTGAGCCAGGTCCTGGGCGCCTTGAAAGCATTTAAGGCCCGGCCGGCGCTGCCCTGTGAACGTTGAGCATCATAGGGGCTGAGCGTCGACCTATGACCCAGGAGGTCAGGGTTCGATTCCCGGTCAGGTCACGTGCCAGGTTGTGGGCTCGATCCCCAGTGGGGGGCGTACAAGAGGCAGCCGGTCCGTGATTCTCTCTCATCATTTATGTTTCTATCTCTCTCTCCCTCTCCCTTCCTCGCTGAAATCAATAAAAATATATTTAAAAAACGTTAATCATTGAAAAGACAGGATTAGATTTGCATTAGAAAATAGATTCATTTAAGAAAGAAGAAGATGCTGGGGATGTGGGTGACCTGCTTGCTCCGCCTCCTCCCCGTGTTTCGTGCGACCTCCTGAGACAACGGCTACATTCTCTCCGCAGAATCTTCCCGTAGAACCAGCGTCTTCCCCAGGCACAGCCCGGCCCACGGGCACCAGGACAGAGAAGGAGGGAGGAGCCGCCTGGCGCCCTGCCGGCCAGGTGGGTAGGCGGCCCCAGACACGCCCTCCTGAGCTCCCCGCCTGCCACCCGGGCCAGGCGCCCAGTGTCTGCCCGGCATCCCTAGTGCGAGGCCAGCAGGTGTTTCCAGAACCCGGAGCCGCAGGCTTCCCGCCGCCTCGGCCCTGACGCTCAGCTTCGCGGGAGAGCGCCCTCTGAAGCAGGACACGCCCGGTGGTGGGGCCCGGGATGGGCCAGGGGGAGGGACACGCGGCCGCCAGGGGTGTAAGGTCTCAGGAGAGTCTGCTGGCGTGGGACCAGGACACCAGCTCCCTGGGCTGCCTAACGGTCCCCTCCCTGGAGCCCGAGGGCGGGCGGAAGCCCTCCTCACTCCTGCCGGTCCAGCTCCCCGCGGCCTAAAGGAGGCGCATTCATGCTCTTGGAGATGGATGTTTAGTGAATGGACCTCGGGGAGCGCTGCCCCGGGAGCAGCTGGAATCCGGCTAAACGAGTCCTTTTTCTTTGGTGTAGTCGTTATCGA